CACAATTCTCAACTCATCCACTTCATGGATTCCATTACCGAATCCTCTCGCACATCTCGTACCGGTGATACCGCCTATTCAGTACAAAATGATAACATCGCCCATTCGGTACAAGCCCAAATGCCACCACTTAATCCAGACGAAATTAAGCCGTTACCATTTCCGTCAAGAAAACGAGCAACGGAAATGTTTCCAGACAATGCGAAAGCAACCACACCACATCCAGTGGTACCCAACATACCTCCATGGATGACTACTACAAAGTCACCACGCCCTTCAAAACGTTTCGAAGAACTTTCAACGTATTTTAAGTTCGCACATTTATTGAAAAACGATACCATGCATAAGCATTTACTGGACTTTGTAATGAAAACCCATCAAAAACGACAATCAGAATTAATAGCTAATAACTATAAAGCACTAACAGCTATGCTACATAATCCCAAAACCTCACCACTTCAAGTTCAAGAAGATGCGTATAACAAAATTCTACCCAATGTTCAGCTTCAATAGCCCATCATATTGCTGTCAATTCAGAACCAAACTTCTCAGTCATGAACAATGATATGTCTCTCAGTCATGAACAACGTCAAGATAATCGCCACGCAGAATTAAATACAAAATGCAGTTTTTGAAGACAAAAATAGAAGAGATCTTACAACAAGACTTTCATTTCTTATTGGATCGAATTTGCTCACTCATGAATTTTAAAATTCAAGCAATCAAAAGCATTGCACAAATCAATCCAACCAGCGCAGCCCGCATGCTTCTCAATAGAGAAGACATATTTGCACTACCAGCAGGAGATGTTTTAATGATATCTAAATGTAAAGAATTGTAGTTGATGAAATCATTTTTAATCACAACATAGATGGGACATGCTATACGTTCACCCCTGTCCGTTCGGGAAAAATGTATTATTTCATCCAACCTGGAACACGTGATCTTATCACGTCCAGTCCAAAAGCTGCTTGTGGACACCTCCCATTCGGCATTTACAATGATGGCAACAACCACTACAAATCCCCCGCAGGGGACCTAGCGGAATAACAACACAAGATTTCGTATTTAACGCACCTCCAATATTCCATTCAGATCTCGTTAGAATTTCAACAGATAATTACCTGATAAAAAAATCACTTAAACTCTCGAGACGGCCCATTCTCTACATTAACAGGTGTAACCGTAGAGCAATCCGAACTCACTTCAGAACAACTAACAGAGGAACTAACCAATAGCGCTAG